GAATATTGTAACTATTGAAACTTAGCCATTGACACCTGCTTTTTTTTTTTTTTTATTTCACTATCACATTAAACTAAACCTCTCCAAAAAGCCCAACCCCATATTTTTTCTTTCTTACTCTCCACTGAAACATAACTATAATGTCATTCACATTGGATTTAGTCTCCTTTAACAGTACATTTCAATAGTTTCATATGAGCATTGCAGCTGGATCCTTAGTTAGAGCATTTGGGACTCTACATTTTATTTTCCAGTGAATAGATCCCATGGCTGTTAGAGCCCAATTGTCACATTCTCTTTAACCTGCAGGCTGTGCTGAGCTGATGGAGGATACCAGCAGCTACTCAGCATTAGGAGATGGGTCTGAAAACATAAATCACTTCTTTCTTGGCATGTAGTAGATACAGTGCAGGGTATGTTTGCATTAGCAGTTGCCATATTGCATTAGGATCTGTGCTGATTAGATTTTCACTAATAGGAGCAGGGCAAATGTATTATATAGTTGCACAATTAAATATATTGTCAGACTGAGGGTGAAAGGATGGAGTAATTGAAAAAGCAGGGGATAAAGGCTGGTTTTTCTTTGGAAGAAGCAAATGGAGAGGTCGTGTTAGAGCCAGCAGGAAGTTTAAACAGAGTTTAAGGAGGTTGGTTGAGGAAATGTCTTGACAGAACAGTGGAAATGACATGTTATGGAAGAGTGAATGATTAACTTGCTTGAGAAGAAGCAGCAGATAATTTGAGCTGGATTGGGCTGGGCAGAAATATGCCACAGCACCTAACATTGGAGCAGATGTGAGGTGCTGAGCTGCAAAAGGCAAGAGAAATTTGAAAAAGCGCATTCAGCCTTGAGAAAAAATAAATGATAAGGAAATGACTCAGAGTAGAAGGGGTTTGGTCCAGATTTAGTGCAGTTCCAGTGAAACTGGGTTTACCAAGAAATCAGTTTTTTTAACAGTCTGACATTTCTAAGTCAATGTGGCTGTGTCTCTAATACTTGCATTTGTGAGGATTGTTTTCCCTTTTCCTTGTTTTCAATTCTTTCTTCCCTTTCACTTGCAACTATGAAAAGCTCCTTGAAGACTTTGGTGGATTTTTAGTCAACTATGAATAAGCTTCTTCTTGTGTCATGGCTGAATGCTGATTTCTGAGCTGTTCTGGTTCCAGGCAGCATCCATAATTGCACATTATTATTTGGAATATAAAGATTTTAATTGCTTTCCAGAAAGCTTGAGAGGAAAATAATCCATATTGTTTTCCTTCTTCTAATTGGACAACTTTTCCACACTGTAATGTGTCTCAGTAGGCCCATTCCATCACATTCTCTATTTCATTTTGAAGTCTCTTGAAGAGTTAATACCTTGTTATTTGGCTAATTTCCTTGATCTCCAGCCACAGAGGTTTGTGTTTTTAAATAATGCTTGTCTTATTTTTCATAGCTGATGTGACTGATTCAGATTGGATTATTTCCTTTGACCCAAACTGGGGCTACAGTTCGAAGATCCAACCAATCTGTGGGCAGCCCTTTTTTTTCTTTAATAGCAGACTAATTGGCAGACCAATTAATCTGCTCATCTGTGAAAAGAAAATTTATGGCAATAAGTAGTTCTATTTCCAGAAGTCATTCTCTAAAGTAACATTACAGTGGCCTTGTTTACTTCATGCCCTGCAACACGATCCAGTGCTTCAACAGTAGCACAGGTCAATTAGTGGACAATTTAAGCAATTATTAGCCACTAACAAGGGTGACTGGCATCATTACCCTTCCTGTTTACCAGCAAACTGTTATTTTAATACAAAGATCAACAAATAAATTAGGGCATCTGTTGTATTGCCATGTCTGCCTTGAAGTAAATGATATTAAATGGGCTTTGGTCGCTGCCAAATTCTTAACCCCGGCCTAATGAGATACACTGATATGTCTCTTGCTGATTACAGAAGCTGTAAAATTTAGTTTGTATTGATTTATTAACAGGAGGACCAAGTTCTTGGCAAAGGTATTTTTTTTAATAGTATGATATCTGTCTTTTTATTTTAAACATTATTGATCCAGACCATTTCAGGCAGTCCAAAACTATTGGGTTCCTCTGAAAGACAAAGCTATTTCCTAGCTGTATTGATTATTTGGATACTTACAATAATTTTAGGGTGAGGTTTGCATATGTAAATGCATGCTTTTGTCTCATGCTTTTCCCATGCTCCTTAGAACTGCCTCTACTTCCAGGTTAGAATTCTGAGAGTTATTTTTAACTCTTCCTTGGTGTTTTCACGATGGGGAAAGGCTTCTTCAGGCTTAACTGACTGCCTGCTAAGTAAGAAAATCAAGTAAATCTCCTTTTGATGGGTAACTTAGCCCAAGTAGATTGGGGTGCCTGGGGAAACGCTGGTCACGTCTGACACCTCGCCCTGGGTGCCCAGGGCCAGGCTCCTTCAGTCGGCTGCAGGAGTGAATCAGGCACAGCAGAGCCTCACCCACTGCATGTTTATGTGCAGCCTTCCACACCATTGCATGCTCTTTCTCAGGGAATAGCAATTGCCTGCTGAAGCTGAAAACTGCAGCTTCCAGTTGCCAAGATGCTCCTGCCAAGCTCTGTGAGCGAGGCTGCATCGGTAACAGGGGCAAAATGAGCAGAACCTGGACAAGGCTCTTCATTGGCACAGTGACAGCCACAGCACAGCCCTGAGAGCTGGGGCTCTTGTGTGTCCTCCTGAAAGAAAGCAGTCCTGTCACCCCTGGGGTGTTGACAGTGCTCCCTGCTGCCTGGGGAGCTGTGGCATGTTCCTGCCTGGTGCGCTGCCAAGACCTTTGGGGAGGCAATGATCCACACCATGCACTATTTGTGCTGGTTTTGTTTCAGCCTGGAAGGTCTTATCCAAATTAGGATAAAACTTGTTCTGGACACACTGATTTCTGAGCAGTTAACTCCTCCAAGTGTTATAGAAAACACAAACTGATGTGATGTTTGAGTCTAGTTGAGTCGAGTTGCAAGCTCTTCTAAACTAAAACCGGCACAGAGTCTTGAGAAACCACGGGCTAAGTGAGGGGTTGTTTCCCTTTAAGTGATTTTGAGCCCTCCAGGTGTGAGTACTGTGGATTATGTTTCAGACACTGCCAGGAAACAGTCAGAGCAGCAGTTTAACATAGCTAAGCTTTTCGTGTTTGCATACAGTTAGGAAATCTGGTTGTTCAGGATCCAACTGTGTCCCTGTCATTCCTCCGTGTTCTTGCTGTTGGATAATGAACAAAAGTCACAACACCAGCCAAAAAGCAGATCGATGTTCGGTTTCCTTCATCTAGAGGAGGTAATTGCAGGAACATTTCCTGAGCAATATAATTATGTATATGCTAATTTGCCTCAGAAATTCAGGTTTAGTTTCTTCTCAGGTGGAAGACCTGGTTACAGAAAGTTCTTCTCTCCTCTGCAGGATTAGTCACTGAGACATGAAAAAATTGCTGATGTTTAGAGTCAACTACACCTTGATCATCTCAGACATTTCAGAAGCCTCATTTTTCTCCATGTGCCTCAGAAAATTATAATTTATTCCAACAGCAGCCAAGGCTCAGATTTTCTGCTATTTGAAATACAAAGTGGGCCTTAAGAAATTAGCTAAATGAAGGAGTTGTGCAGAATGTGAGATTTTGGTCTCATCATTAATGCATGTTTCAGCCAAGCTGTAAACAAGTGCATTTAACCTAGCACAAACTTGAGGTTTAGGGGTTTTTTTTAATACTTTGGTTGAATCACAAAAAATCAGGTCTGAAATCAGCTAGTTAGTCCAGGCCATCCCTTCTATCCTGAATTGTTGCTTGTTGTAGCTATTCCCTAAGGCTTTACCCTGTCCAGTGTTAAATGTTTCTGATGATAGGATTCCACTCTTACCCTGGAGAGACAATTCCACACTCTAATAGAGCTCACCATTACTGAAATTTTACTGATGAGCAGCCTTAATTTTTCTCAGCTTAATTTTATCCTGTTACTAGACCGTAGTGATTGATTTATTCTGGGGAAATTCAGTAAATGGTTCCTGCTTCACAGGATGGACCTTACAATAAATAGCAAATTGTCATGACCTATCTGTGGGTGTCCTGAGATTACACAGGAACTCAATTTATCTCAACATTAATTCCCTGGAAGCTATTTCTGTCAGGACCAACTCAGTGGAGGGATGAGCAGTGAATTGAGCTGCCAGATTCCTGTCTCCTGCCCCAGCAGCAGCCCTGGGCTGAGGCAATGCTCAGTGGCTCCCCGAGCACGGGGCCAAGAACAGGAGCTCCTGCAGGCTCTGGTGCTGTGATGTGCCCAAAGGAAGGGCATTTAGGATCTGCTTCCCCATCACTTGTCTGGGCTCCACATTAAAGGAGCTGATGAGGTGCAGTTACTCCTGGTTTCTGTGAGTGTAAAAGAAGTGAGGAATATGCCGTATAAATTCCAGTCCACCACTGGCACAGCATTCCTGTGCCCAGTGCACATATTAGGCAACCCTCCCATTTTTTGTGAGGCATTTTACACCTCTTTATATATGCAGATGATCTGAAATCTGTGTTCATATGTCACAGGTAGGTCTGGGTGTATGCTGAAATGAATTTGAGATGGCTCAACTCAACAAATTCCCACTCACAAGGTGAGCTGCAGGCTGGGTGTGAGGGGCGTCTTCATTTCTCCTCTTAGGAGCAGAAAGGTTTTGTTACTGTGGCTCAGCTGATGAGCATTAACTTCTCCCTCTGTGGAAACTCGACAGTGGCTGGCAATGCAGCTGTGAGGGACTTGCATTATGAGGACAGATTAAGGGATTTCTCCTTGAAGTTCTTGGAGTTTTAAGCAGGTGGCAGGTGCTACGTGAGTGCAAGTGGCTTGTTCTGTTGGAAGCTGAAGCAGTGCCAGGAACCAGGAGGAATCATCATTCTGATCTTTTATGTGTGAAATTTCAGGTAGATATCTGGAACTCATTGATGTCATAGATCCCTTTCTTCAAACTCCTTTTTAATTTATTTTTCCCAGGTATAATTGATTTCCTCGTCAGCCACCATCCAATTGCAAAAGTACTGAGAGACCACCTGGTCTTCAAGATTGCTCCCATGCTCAATCCTGATGGAGTTTACCTAGGAAATTACAGGTATGGTGTGGGGAATGAATCTGGGTATTGTTATACTTGCCTTGCACTGTTTTGTCATTGAATCTTATATGGCTTGTTTCAATTCATTCCTCTTAAACTGGAGATTCTCACGTGGATTCAAACGTACTTCCTGAAATTCCCACCTAGGAAAGGGGCAAATAGCAAATTTGTTTTCTTCAGGAGGTAGAGAATAACTCTCCAAGACAGCAGGGTATCTGCTCTGCAAGCCTCCTCTAGGTGTGGGAGTTAATGTCAGCTTAGAGTTAGACCTTAGCTGTGTTTTATAAATGCACTCATTATGCTGCTCATCAGCCTCTATGTAAATGTGTCAGTCAATCACAGCTCCCTTAAACTACCCAGATCATCCATTAAAGTCACAGATTTCACTCTGTTATTGTACTGTAATAGATAGGGATACATGGAATGGAATAATCATTCCACCCTATGCTAATTTTGCTCCATTTTAGTGTTTGAATTACTACTTTACCACCTCCTCTGCTGAGATCGTATTCAGATAATCTTTTGTTTTCCCTAAAATTGTTTTCTCTTAATGCATTTATTTACAAAATAAATGTGCTGCTGGAGGTGATAATGAAAAGCAGTTGATTAGTTGATGATTTGTTTGTGGGGGCAATTACATATACCACACAGTTCTCTGGAGAAGCCCCTGAGAAATAAAATATACTGCATGTGGTTTTGCTTACAGTGCAACACTAAATAACACAATTCACTTTGTGGCCAGGCTACCTGGAGCTTTGATCTAATTAGGTATTGCTAAGCAGAATAAGGCTGGGTTGTTGTATGGGTGAGGAGACCACTGAGGAAGAAGACAGAAGGTGCAGAAAATGGGGCTGCTGGCAGTTCTTTGTTGAGGAAACAGCCTCAAGTTGTGCCAGGAGGGTTTTAGATTAAGTATTAGCAAAAAAATCTTCACTGGATGGGTGGTCAGGCATTGGAACAGGCTGCCCAAGGCAGTGGTGGAATCACTGTCCCTGGAAGTGATAAAAAACTTGTGTGGATGTGGTGCTTAGGGAGATGGTTTAGCAGTGCTGGGTTAATGGCTGGGCTCAGTGGTTTTAGAGGTCTTTTCCATCATTCATGATTCTGTGATCTGTGCTCCTTACCCCTCCTTTTCTTTGCTCATTGCTAAACTGAAGCAGCAGGGAGTTGTGGGGGTGATTTAAACCACAGTTCTGTGTGTTCTGAGTGAAGCTTCTGAGAACAGGTGGTGTCCTTCCAGCTGCAGTGATCCTCGCTCAGCTGGTGGCAAATCCCAAATCAGACTGCAGTGGTGACATCTGACAGCACCAGGGATTTACCAGAATCTGTCACCACACAGGAATAAAGCCCCCAAATGGCTCTAGAATCTGCTACTACATCACTTTCCTTTCTTCCAGGTGCCTTGCACATAAGCAAACTCCAGTTGCAATTAAGCAGGTTTTGTTTTCCCCATAAGGTCACTTGCACTGTAGGGTTTTTTCCCCTGTGCTGTTATTTATAGTTTTTGAGAGACATGCAGCTTTTTATAGGCATTCATATGGCTCAGAACTTGAAGAGCCTTTTGGGAACCCAAAGGTAGTGAGAAAGAGAATGCGAATTAATTTGGAATTGCTGAGCTTGATGGTGTACTCTTGGTTTAACTTTCCATGATATGCATGATTTTCAACCCTCCTGAACTAAAGAGAATTTAAATGAGCTAGTTGAAAAAACATTTGATTTTCTTGCAATTTTTCACTGTATTTACAAATGGCCTAATGTAACTAATAACTTAAAAACGAGGATAATAAGCAAAATGCTACCTATTATCTTGAGAAGAATATTAAAAAGCCTAGTAATGTGCCAGCATTGCAGTTAACTAGTGCTGAGTGAATAATTTACAGCAAACACCTTATTTCCTTCTCATTCAAAAATCCACAAGCACATCACAATTTATTTACTTGAATTTACTGCATGCATTTCTAGAAAAATCTCTAAGGATCACTTGCTTGTATTTGAAAATTTAACTCTGAGGCTTCTCAGTGATTGGCTAGATAAGTCTGCTTCATCTCTTATGGTCTTTGCTCAGACTAGCACATAAATAGGACTTTCAGAAGTCTTCCACGTAGTGGGGTCTAACACAGATCTATTGGCTGGGGATAACCCCCTGCTTTTGCAAACAGGGGTGCCACATGCAGCAAGAGCAGCTTTAGGCATTTGAACCTCTTCCTGTTATCTCCCTCTTTCTCAAAGCAGCAGCTGGTGACTATTTCTTTGGTTCATTGAAGGTTCACACTCAGAGCTATGCAAGCTAAGATAATGAAATGGGTAATTAAACCTCATGCTTGAGTTTGTAAATTGATCTCCTGCCAGTGTGAGGGAGGTTTTTCTTTTACCCCACCAGTGCACAGCCTTGTACAACTGGCAAAGCGTTCTGCTGGATGCACTTGGCTGTCCCCTGGAATGCCAGGCATGGGGGGCACCACTGAGAGCCTGAGTGTGTCAGCAGCTCTTGGAGGAGGGATGGGGTGGACTTGTTCTCCTGGCATCAGGACAGGAACCAGCCACTCACTAAGCCAGGGGGATACGGTCACAGCTGGCTGCTGAAATTTTCTTCATTGCCACTTTTGGGGATGCAGGACTGACTGAGGATGTGAGTCCTGTGCTCTCCTCTAAAATCCTCCCTCCTTTGTTGTTGTGAACCGAGGTTTGGGAGTTTAAGCCAAATCTGCAACGATGCCACCAAGAATTGCCCGTTTTTCACAAGCTGCTGCTCATTCTCAAGAGAGCAGACAAAATGGGTTGTGACTCTTGACTTGGATGAGGTGAAATTTTCATCACCAGCAACAACTGAGTTTAGTACTGCCACTGTAAAGCACAGATTCATCTGTGAGGAAAGATATTTTTATGTTGCATGTATACTCAGGTGGCTCTAAAAGAAATGGCCATGGAAAAGAATGTCAGAGCTCCGTGTATCAGGACGCGTGGAAATGGGATGCAAAACTTTACTGATTTATTCAAGTTTATGCAAGAGTTTAAGAATTTGTAGACCTATACAATTAGAAAAGACAAAGGTGCCTTTTGGGATGTACAGGGGCAATTAAGCAGCTCCTTTAATTCAGAATGTTTGGAAAGTCTATATACAATTTGAACAAAAAAGTTTTTGTGGTTTTGTTTTGGTTTTGGGTTTTTTTAACTGTCTTTTTAGTGGAAATAAAACACCCTCCAATTCCTTTTCTTGCTGCATAATTATACCCAGCTCCTCCTGAAACACAGAATAATGATAGGTACCTGCTGTTCACTATGGCCAAGGGTGTAGAGTCCTTCTCAAAACAGGAAGACAGTCTTCTCCCTTTTCTTGAAGTTTTTAAAGCCTGGCAATGCACTTCTAAGTGTAACTGGCTTTGCAGTTACAGTGTTGTATAGATGATGTTGTGCTGCATGGGCTTGTTAATTAAACTGTCCAGAATTATGCCATTCATTGACCCAACTAAAACATAGAGAGCCTTCATCATAATTTTGCCTCATTTCTAGCTGGCAACTTGTCCTCAGCTCTCACCTGAATAGAAAGACCCCTTTTGCTGGTGGTAGTGCACTTGATCTTTAGCTTTAGTATAAAAGAACGTGGCACACAAATAAAAATATTTGTGAGTTTCTCTATAACACTAATCTCACCCTCTCTGATGGATTAAACTGTGAAACAGCTTTAGGAAATAAAGGAAAGCTAGTGCAGTGAAGAGAGGTTTCTCGACTTTTCTCCCTCTGTTTGCAGCACAGCATTATCATATTGCCATCCCCAGGGAGGAGGGGGTAGACTAAGGGGAGAAAAAAAAGTGTTCTTGATTTAAAAGTCGTGCATCCCCAGGCTTGGCCTGAACTTTCCTTTATCGAGAGCTTGTTCTTAAGCTGGCATTCTGCAGCTGAATGCTGAAATGTGTCCCTGCAGGCGAGATGACTGTACCACACTATCTTAGATTAGTTCCAATTTGTCAGCCTCACCTTTCAGAGGCTAAATCCTACCCTGGCACCTAAAGGGATGTGTTGCTTAGTCTGGGAAGCTCTTCACTGAGGTATCCCAGAAATGCCATGACAAGGCAGATGAAATATCCTGACCGTTCTCCAAAGGCTCTGTGAGTGTCCCCATTCCTTGGATTTTTTGTGTTCCTTCTCTGGGGGAGCTGTGACAGCACCAGCCTTCGGTAAATTAAAGCCATTAATTAGCTGAAAGGTTCTGAAGTTCCACCACTGCTGTGTCCTTCTAGCCCTGTTGTAGGGCTGCAAGAATTTGTGTGAATGGGGAGGAGAGGGCACACACCCATTCCAGCCCTTTCTCATTTCACTGTCAGCGACAATATTTTTTAACTCAACACAGTCCTTACCTCTGGCTTGTGTAAAGGGTTAACAAATTCATTTGTTGGGCAGAAAGGAGGCCAGGCTGTAGAGCTAAATTCACCATAGACAGTGTCAGTGTCCATATGAAAGTTGTGTTGGGATTTCATGTTTTGAGCAAAGGGTACATTTTTGTCTCAGAAATCTAGTTTTGTAAAGACTTAAATACTTTGTAGAAGGGAGTAGAATTTAGCAAACTGTTTCATGTGGAAGAAAGGGAAGGTTTGAGAAACATTTTAAATTATTCATACTAGCATTTTATAAAGGACAATCTTCTTTCATTTTTGTTTGTTAATGGCACAATTTGTTTAAAAACTGACCTTTTCCAAACATTCCTTTTGAAAGATTTAAAATACAATCAGAAAACTAGGTTTTGGATCAGGTTAACTATTTCAGATTTATCCCAAACATGTTTTTCTGGACTTTATTTCTATGACTCTAGAAATAGTAAAAAAGTCATGTTCAAGTGTAATTCATAAGGTTTTTTTAACAGTAAAGGCACATATGGACTTCATCCAAGTTGTTTTACTATTTATGTCTCTTTTGGGGGGACTGGATATGTCAGGTGGTTCTTACTATCACTGATTCAGTTGTAAGACAGTTCCACACGTGCAGACTATCATTTGTTTGTCTCT